AAGTTTGGGGACAGGAGGGACCCTGTGGAGGCCACCAAATCCAATCTCATGACTTGTTAACTCCCCTAGGAGTCAGAGTCTGGCGGGATGGCCTTTACAGTGACCTCATCGCCTAGACCCCACTGACAGTGCCAGAAGCAAATGTAAAATGGCCACAGTGGAGGCCCTCATGGGAATTAGCCTCAAGGGTGGACCATCTGTCCTAAAACAACTGGACTGCTGCTTAACCAGGTAAGAACAACTGGAATTTCCAGGTGGACATGGATTCAAGCAGAATTTTAGTCTCTGCTTCTTGTCAGGAACAGGCAGGGAATATGACACAGGAGGTATCAGGTAAACGGTCAGTGAAGAAATCACCAGGTTGCCTGGGCCCCTTTCTCACACACACAGAGCCCAGCTGAGCTCAAAGGGGATGAGCCTCCCAGTCCTGTCCCCAAAGTCTGGAAGGTCCTGAGAGTAGAATCCACGGAAGGACTGGGACAGCCTGGGTATTAACTGTCCCATCTTTCCCAAACCATAAATTAGTCTAGTCCCAGCCTGGAAATCTCTACCCTGCTGCTACTCAAAGACCATAATACCCAACCATGTGGCTGCTGATGTCTCATTATAGTCATTATAAAGCAGCAAGTTAAAGATGGCCCCCGCAGAGCTAATGCAGAGCTTCAGAAATTAGAGAAACAATTCCACCCAATCAGATAAAACCAGGACTGGAGAACTTTGATATGACTCTGGGTTTCCGAATAAGTGGAAGAAAGAAGGAAGAAAGGAAGGAAGGGAGCGATGGACAGGGAGAGGGAAAGACTAAACATACACGCACACACTCTGGTTTCCCTAAATGACATCAGCACAGTTTAACTACATCTCCTCTGCCTAAATGGTCAGTCCCAAAAGAGGAGGAATTAGCATCCAGACTAGGACAAGGACATTGTCAGAGATGAATAATGAAGTTACCAGCTGCCTTAGCCATCGAGGACATCCAGACAAGCTGTCACCTTACCGGACCCACAGACACACCTAGCAGGAATCTTCCCAAACTCAAGGCCACATGTGGCCACCCTGAGCCTCTGCATTAAGTGTCCACCAGGCAGTAACTTCAAAGTGGGAAGCAGGATACATGGCTCCAGCCCCATCTGGCCACTCCCTGGCTGTGTGGCTTGAGGTAAGACCCTTCCCCTTCAGCACAATGAGGGGTGGGGGCCAGGGACCTGGAGAGACCCAGCCTGGGATGCTATGGCTCCAAGATGCTGCCGTCCAATCCCAATCCCACACGCGGCTCTTGCTACCTGTGCCCCAAGGAGGCACCACCTGCTTTATCCGGTGAAGGCCCGGTGCTTGCTCAGAATCAGGACACATTACAACAGGCAGCAGACACTTCTGCCACCATCAGGCTGAGTGGCAGAAAGTGAGCCAGATAGTCCTGCAGGGTACTTCTCCATCTCAAACTGTTAGACAAGAAGGCATGTCTGTGTATATGTCAATAAATTATCTTCCCCAAGAAAAGCAACAGGATAAAACTGGTCTGAAGGATTAGTTACCTAACCTCTCACAGCTTAAGATCTGGACACAGGGGAGACTCCTGGTGCCCCCCAAGCCCCAGGATGAGGCTCCACCCCAAGTTGGAAGGTGATGAAGCCCCAAGACTCATCCCCAAAGGGGAGAGAGAGCCCTTTCCCAAGCTGAGGCCAGGACAGATGTCCTCAAAGCACACTCTGTCCCCGGCAGCCTGTTTGCATCTACATGTGTGCATAAGGGGGAAGGGGGGAGAGCGGAAACAGTGTGCTGGTGGACAAACACCTGAGAGCCCGGAGCTCAGGAGAAACCCAGCAAGCGCTTTGTCTTCCCAAGGGCACAAACCATGGGAGAGGCTGGGCTGACGGCCCCCACAAAATCCGGGGAAAATGGCTCATGGACAAGTGCTCTTCCAGGACCCTGGCTACCTGTGGCTGTTTGCTGGCCCAAGTGCCCATGACTCTCTGGTGCCCACCTCTAGATTAGAGTCCTCTTCTGAACAAATGAAGACGATCTCTTCAAAGCACAGCTGGGCAAGAGGGGCCTCGGGTTTAGGCAGTCCTATATTCACCACCACCACCCCAGTGCACCCTTGAGGGGACTGCACCAGCCGTACCAGGCCCCAGTCAAGACCCCAGGTCAGCCCTGCCTCCCCTAACCAGTCCTACCTGAGGCACTGCCCACCCTTACCCAGCCCCTATCTGGGCTGGCAGTGCCAGCACCAGTCAAGTTATGTTGAGCTGCCGCCAGATTTAAGCAGAGATAAACATTCCGGGAAAAGAAACTCCACACAAGGCAGCTGCTCCTCCCAAGCAGACTACATCTCAGGCAAACGCCCAAGCAGCCAAGAAAGGGAGCGTCACTGCCATGGTCAGTGAGATGTTGCACAGCCCAAGGGCCAAGAAGACGGCGCCTACAGACAGGCCTGGACTCCCTGGGAGAACTCCCTGGGGAACTTGTGGGAATCCTCAGGAAAGGCCCGCCTTTCCACTGCAGCCCTCGCTCCTGAAGACCTTACATCGGCCCACGAGGGGGTGGCATGGGACGTGCCCCAGGGCAGAGCCTACTATGACTCCAAACACTACAACCTGCCCTAATGCACAGTGTAGACAGAGGCAGGATTCAAAAACCCAAGTCTATCTGAAGTCTGGCTCGAGGCTCTGACCACCCAGAACAGCTCAAAGGGTGACCCGTCAACAGCCCAGGGAAGGGCAGGCCCATTACCCACCATCTACCAGTCAGAAGGGATCACAGCATCTGGCACAGACCCTTGGACACCAGAAAGTAAAGCCAAGTTGAGGAAAGGAACTGCAAGTAGTGAAAAGGCCACAGCTCTAACCCCCACGGATGCTTTCTCCCACCAACCTCAAAACCACCACGCCAGGGCCTTGGCTGACACCTGCCCAGCTGAACAGATGGGCTCAACTCCCCCAGCCCACACCCCCTCAGGGAGACTTTCAGCTTTCTCAAGACTCCTAAACAGGCGCCTGCACTTCGGGAGCACCCAACCCTCAAACCTAAGGGCTCAAAGTGAAGAAAAACCCTCCGCCCCCGCTTTCTGGGGCTGCTTCAGCAGCAGCTGAAATGTCCCGGTCCCGTGCATGTCACACCAAGCTAGAGAAGGCCCAGGGCCTCTCTTCTCACCCTCAAAAACATTATCTCTCAAGAAGTCTGTTCGTGTCCCCAGTTCAGAGTCAACTCAGAAACACCGAGAACTGGTCACTCATCAGTAGCAATGCCATTAAAAAACAAAACAAAGCCGAGGTGGGCCACCACGGCCTCTCCTGCCTCATCGAGAAGATCTTATATCTCAAACACCAACCTCATGAACTTTGGGGTACTTTAATTTGTTAATTAGTTTCTCTATCTTCCTGCATAATATCCAGGCAACAACTAAAAACAAAAGTACAAAACCTGACCTCTCTGGGGTCTGGGGACTCACTCTCTTCCCCCTTCTCTGTTCAGAGCCATCTCTCCACGCGAGTCTGAGAAAATGGAACTTCAAGCCCCAGGTCCTCTTTGAGGTGTACTTAACATACACAACCTCATTTAGTGCTAAAAATAACCCTGTGAGTTAAGCATGGACAACCCCATGTTACACACGAGAAAGAGACTCGGAGGAACTCTGTAACATGTCTGAGGTCAGACACTTAGCAACGTGACAAAGATTCGACTTCATCTTACAGGACTAGTCTGCTTCCCAGCCTAACCATCAAGCCCAAAGGAATTCAAGTTTCTGCTTTAAAAAAATTCCCCTTTATTACCACAATTCATGCCTGACCGATTCCAAGAGTGTCCTCCCAAACTTGATATGAAAACATTGAAGTAATTATTGGAGAAATTGAGCAAGAGCATGTAGGCAGCCTGCCCTACCAGGGCTCTGAGAAAAAGTGACAGAGTTCCTACTGGCAGGACTCCAGCCTTCCTGTCAGAGCCCCTCACTCAGAACGACTTTCTCTACATCCTGGCATTAAAACTGAGCAGCCCCCCTCTGGTAACCTTGGGAGCAACCTGTGGCTGCCCTGGGCCTGACTGCCTGTGGATTGCAGGTCAAGGAGAGGTCCCAGTGGGCATGGGATCAGCCTCATCCAGACTTAAGGAATGCAAACCCACTGACCCAAGTTCCCTGCCTGTGCGGAAACAGAGGCTGGAGGCCTCGGTTCAGATCATTTGAGCAAGATAACTGAAGACTCCAGGCTGCTCCCGGGAAGGGACAACGTGGTGCTATCTGGGTACACACATTATACTGGTACAAATCCTGTAAGGGGCCCTCCTCACTTAGATTTTGGGAACCTACAAGGGCAGGAAGCAGGGTAGGAGGGCCCCAGGGCAGGGATCTACACAGAGGAGGAACTATACACAATAGTGACAATTTACTGAGGGCTTACCCTCATTAATGTAAACTTTCGTTTACACTGTTTCATCTGATCTTCCAAAACGCCCCTGAAATAAGTAGCATTTATTCCCATTTAACAGATGAGAAACCAGCGGTTTAGGGACATGTCACTTGCCCAAAAGCTCAGGAAAAAAGTTAACTCACACTCTCATTCACTTCTATGGGAAGTCAGGAGATGTCAACTGGTAGGTCTGCTCACTTCCCAACTGGAGGCCTCACCATCAGTCTCCCAAACTCGAGCCGGTTACTCTGGGCTGCCTTACAGTTCCCGCCAGAGTTAGTAGGGCAACGTCCTAAGAAGACTCAAACTCCCAAAACTTCTTGAGGCTTGGGCCAGAGCAGGGAAGTCTCCGAGGCCTTCTCCGGTTCGGGGCGAGAGGGGCCTACGTCTTTCCTAAAGCGTCCCCGCCCCAGCCTCCAGCATGAATCTGAAGGAACTCACCTCCCAACCCCTCACTCCCATCCAGCCCGGAACCTCTGTTTGGGATTAGGAGCTCTGATCCGGAATGGGGAGACTGACTGTCGTAGGAGAAGGCTTGGGCGAACGTCCGGAGGACCCTGTTGGGGAAACTCAGGGAAGTCCCCAAGTCCTTACCGAGCAACGGTGACTCCTCAGGGCAGGCAGACAGAGAGGGTGTTGTGGCGGGGGCCACTGGGGCCGAAGTCAGGTTGCCCGAGGGGCCGGGGCCGGGGCGAGAGTCCGCGTCTGGGCTGGAGTCGCCACCCGAGCGCGGCTTGGCTGAGGTGCGCAAAGGCGGCAGCAGTGCGGCCCCTCGGGACCGGAGCTCTCCGGAGGGCTGCCCGATGGCGGCGGCGCCGTTAGAGCTGCCCTGCAGCGGTGTGGGGACTCCGGCCAGCTGAGGCAGGCGGTTTAGATCGCGGCCGGCCAGGTAGTAGACGAGGGTGACGCCAAGATGCAGCGCGCAGACAGCCACGAGCAGGCGGCAGGCCCGCTGCAGGGACGCGCCCGGCATCGCGGCGCTGCCGCCCAGGAACGGCTCCCGAAACCTCATCTTCCCGCCGCCGCGTTTAAGGGGGGTGGCTACAGCTGGGAGGCGGCCCGCCGCAGGCCGCCGGCCAGGCACTGGCCCGACCCCTGCAATTGGGGGAGGGACGGGGGGCGG